GGTGCTACCGTGTCCTAGTTGGACCCTTAGCCCCCTATCGCAACTCGATCGAACTCTATTGCCATTCGCCGTCCGAGCCTCCCGCCTTCAAATTTTTAGAGTTGATGTTGGCAGATCGCTAGCTTCGTAATCTTCTGGTGCGTCGCTGAGAGCCGAGCCGACGTGTCCGCGTTGCCGCCAACTCCGAGTCTCAGTGTTCTCCAATTCGCCACCAGGTCGTCGCTGGACCGTCATTGTCGCAGCGCAATCCAACCTGCCATCAGTTCTCGATCAACCCACCGCGTTTGCATGACGATAACCGTGGTACCGATTTACATTTGTGCAGAGTCCTACGTCTCGAGGTTCCAGTTGCATCCCACCTGGGGCGAAGTAACACAATGGCGTGCGGGCGCTGAGCACGCGTAGCCTACGCCACGCGCGTACTTGGCTGATAGCTCTGTGGGTTTGTCCTCGCATTATTTCCTCGTCTGCATCCCACGTCGAATCGCAGTGGGACTCGCAAAGATGGTCGTATCAACCCCACAGAGAACCGGATATGAGTGGGTTGGCAAGGACAGGCTCCCTCATACGCTCTCGATAGCAGCGGGCGGCGGATTAATCGATCCTCCTGACAATGTCTTTCGTCAGCGCGCCAGCTCCCGGCGCAACGTCTCGGAGAGGTTCAGGCTCGGCAACGTGATTGGCCCGACGCATGAAGACTGACGGCTTATCTGGTGGGTGCCGCCGGGTTGAAACCAAGCTAATTGGAGTCATGGGATTCTTGTCTCTCTTCTATCGTCAGAGACAATATCGAGGTCAAGCGTTGCTGCCATTTGCGCGTGCTCTTTTCTGCGCTTCCCGCGGTAGGCCTGCCGAAAGAGTGGCCGGCACTTGTGAGACGATCACTGTGCAATCGTGACAATGGCGAGATGGATCGCCTTACGAGCTCGTCGTGATTGGCTCCTAGCGTTGAACATTATAAATTCAACCACCAAGAAACCCTCCTTGCCTGCGCTAACAGTCTTGGGTTGCGCGACCAATCATGTAAGTCACGAATCCTCTCGATCCAGTGACGACGACGGGCGAAGACGTCAACTGCTCAGGGGTAATGCTGAGACTGGGAATGCCTTCGAGGTGCTCTTGTTCTCCAATCCCGTCAAAAGGCGTGTCGGCTCTGCTGCGACGGGAACGCAGGTTGGGCGACTGGTCAGGTGGGCAGCCCAGGAGCGTAGGCCAACTCGGGAGGTGGGAGCAAAGCGTCGCTATTGGTGTGGGGAGACAAGTCGTGATGCTGCTTGAGCCTGTTCTGCTCCCCCGCCTCAGGATACATGCGGGTGGAGGCCAAACCGGTTAGCCGCTCTTGGCTCGCAGCAAATTCCAACTGCATGGATAGACGATGAGCTCAACGGCGAATCACGAGCTGCAGTACGTCTGAACGAGGCCGTCAACTGGCCGGGAAGAAGAAGAAGCTGCAATGCACAATAATCCTCCCAGGCTCTGGGTTTGCCAAAGGCGAGAGTCTTCTGCGTGAGGCGACGGACTGGCTAGTCGACTCCGTGACGCCGCTGCGACTGTCCCTGCTGCCGGCCGAAAGTGGAACCATCGGACAGCGGCGTGAAGCACGAGATCTCCACCATCCCTGCCGAAGGCTCCATAGTTGACGGATAGCTTTGAAGAGAATGCATCATGGGGGCGTAGCGGCTTCGTGCAAGAGCTTGGGATCTTTTTCATTTCGACGCTAGTTTCTGGCCCGCATGAGCCCAGCTTGTTTCGCCCTTCCTGCGACAGAGACAAGTGGGCGAGAAGAAGGGACGATGATGACAAGCCGCAGACTGATAAGTCGAGTATGGCATTGCCCCAAGACGATGTTGTGCTGCTTCATTCGTATCGATATTGTGGACAATTGGGATGCCGAGACGGGAGTTGGAGTTGTCCGTGGCCAAATAACCTTTGGCTGTCATGCCAGGTACACCCAGGTTGAACGGGGTCATGAGGATTGTGTCGAAACTCTCGAAACCAGGACATCGCCTTCACGATGGGATGGAGCATGATGTAAGACAGCCCAGAGAGCATTGGAGTCGTTGGAAATCCTCCAAAACGACGACGGCGACACCAATTGTGTGCTGGGATAGGCCGCAAGCACTGGTGAACCCCAGGTTTTCTGCTTCTGACGCCACCCCTCGGGATGGTGTCGAAATTGACATCGGATCTGCACATATTGGACAACGGCCAATGAGAACGACGACAGCGTCCACCTGCCTTTCTCCCCCAACCCTCGCCCACTTGACGCAACAGAGCCGATCGGTTGTTGTCGTGGTTGCGTAGTTGTGGTGGCTAGGAGAGGGGAGACCAGACTGATAGAAGGCTCGCGAAAGGGTCGAGGCGCTTGGTTGGTTGCACGGCGTTGACTTGCTCGAATTGCGTCGAGGCATCCCGAGACGATGCCACCCGGCTACCGCCGCCGTAGCATTCGATGGTCGCTTCCTCTGCGGACTGGCACGATTGGTCTGAGTGTGGTGTGTTCCTGCTGCCGCTGCGGTTGGCCTCTCTCTGATCATGAAATTCTCCATCCGACCCCGGGAACAGGGTGGAGCGCGGAGAAGGAGACGGCCGCTGTGGCTATTATTTTGGGGACGACGCCAACCCCCACGCGGTTCCATGCTTCATGTCATTCGACCACTTGATTTCATGATCAGTTACTGACACCAGGCGAGGCGCCATGCCCTCAAGTGGCCATGGACGATGATTCCGAGGAGACGGACGTTGAGGTTGCGGAAGATGTAGGGAGGCGAGGAATGTTGGGACGGCAATAAGGAGATTGAGTGAAAAGTTTTCTTTCTTTCATTCTTGTCCGGCGGGATCCTGATTTGACGGAATCTCTTTCATGTCCGGGTCCGCCCAAGCGAGAAGGGAGCAACCGTCGTCCAGACTCGCCCAGGCCGGCAGCCAGCCAGCAACCCAGGGCGCCCTATGTTAGCAGTTCTGCGTATGCGTAGCAAGGCAACCTTGGGCAGGTCGAGTGGCGTTGAACGGAATTGAGCTATCATGTTGCTTTGGGCATTTGTGCACTTGCAGTTTCATTGCAATTTGTAAAGCCGCTGCAATATAATTCGTGCTCGTTCGACGGTGGCCAGAACCAACGGTTGGTGGTGGTGGTGGTGGTGCTGCTGCTACTGCTACTGCGACTGCGACTGGCTACTGTAACCAGCAACACAAGGAGGGTTGAAGATGTGCAGACTCGGATCGGGGAAAAACACATGACTGTTTTTGAGAGGAGGCCGGGGTCAGGCACAGCTAGAATCATTTGGGAGGGCGTGGGTGTCGATCATGGGTTTGGGTTGAGCAAGGAAAAGAAGGAGAAAGTGGAGTTTTGGCAGAGAGGAGGGGTGAGACTGAGACCAAAAGAGAAAAAGGAGCAGGGGCCAATGAGAGACACACCCACTAAGCCGAATCAACACTAGCGTTGTCGAAATGAGCTAGCCTTCTTGCGTGATGGCGCGCCCCACTCTGAGAGAAGATGCCAGCTCTTACTGGCTCGAGGCAGCGTTTTTCTGGCTCAGTGTGTCTACAACAGTCCGCTGTACTCGTGCCTGAGGTATTCTTCAGCTGCATAATTCATTGCATCACTCCTCGGAAGGCCACAGCTGTGCTTGGAGATACCTACCGGGAGCGAGAGTCCACGCCATTTGTGTCCACTCTGTGGTGCTGGAAGGCGGCCCTTACCTTACTTCCATACACCCCGCGTCATTGTCGACAGTTGCCATCTCAGGCCTGCTGCTGCTGTCTTCCTGTCTGTTGCATCGAGATCTCAGCAAATGGCACAAGACAGGCAAGCCGGGAGCAGAGGAAGAACTGTGCTTCGCAATGTTGAGAGCCTGGGCCATGTTGAATTGAGAAAAGCATGGATGGACGCTTGGGCAAGTATCTCTCAGCTATGTTTGCACTGATGAATACACAAGGCACACACCAGCTCTGTGCCCCCGCTTCTTCAAGCCTGCCACACCCTTCCTGCATAATTCTCTTTGCACAAATCCAGAGCTCCTCACACCTCACACCCCCTCTCCTGCACACCCTCAGCATAACTGTCGCCTTTGACGCAGAAAATTTTCAGAAGTCATCACACGCCAGAGTCTGCTGGAAGGCCGACTGCTTCCCCTCCATCTGCCCCCCCAAATCTCTCATCTCCCATCTGCCATCTCGCCCAGGCCAGCCCCCCTACCATGAACTTCCTCTCACTTCCATCTCCCACCCCCCTTCCCAGCCCTTCCACACCCCTCTGGTCCTTCCTCCCACCCCCTCCTCTCAGTCTGCGCTATCTGAGGTGCTGCAGGGCATGAGAACTGGGGTGGAGTCCTTGCTCAGCCCATCCAGCAGTGCCAGTGCCAGTGCTGCCAGGACTGACAGTGCCATCCTTGCCGTCCTTTTTTCTGCCCTCCATCTCCATCTCGCCTTCTCCACCCTAGAGGCACCAGCATCTGCACACTAGCGGCCTCTTCCTGCCCTTGTGCTTGAGGTGTGTGTGTGTGCATGTTTGTGTGGTGGGTGCTGGGTTTCTCTTGGTGCCCACTCTCCTCCTGGCAAGTACCGCCCCCCACAAATCCTGAGGCCTGATACTTCCCAACTTCCCACTGGGAGGTGTGCAGCGCCATAGGCCTTGTCTTGGGCGTGCTGCGTGCTGCGTGCTCCTCCACTGAGTGGGCAGGCTGTGCTTCGAGGATAGATACATATGAGCCGACCTCTTCCACTCCTCGATCCACCACTCGTTCTCCCATCATTCGACTTCACTCAACTTCTCCTCCGGCATCTGCTCGTGGCTCATTCTCTTACTTGTGGCTACCAGTCCTCTTCTACTTAATGACTGCAACCCGTCCAACTCTTTAAACATCAACCATCACCCACCACTCGTAACTCGTCCACCATCTCCAACTACTCGCCTTTACACCAACTACCAGTTGACTCGACTCGTATCGACTCAACCACCAACCACAACCACCAACACCACCACCACACACTCAGCAGCCATGTCCGCCTTCGACCTCTGGACCCCCGAGTTCTGCCTCGGCTGCGACAAGCAGACTGACGGCACTGCCTACTGCTCCGAGTCCTGCCGCCTGGCCGACTTCGAGAAGACCTCAACACCCAGCTCCGTTGCGAGCTCGCCCGGCCTGAACGCTCCTCCATACCCGTGGACCAGCTCCTCGAGGCAACAACCCTCGAACAAGCTCTACCTCGCTCCCGCCTACGACTTCACCACCGCTCAGCCGTACGGCTCTACCCCTCAGAGGCAATCCTACCTCTCCGCCCCGAGGACATCCTCAACCCGCCGCACCCTCACCACCTCGAGCTCGAACAGCAGCCTCTGCTCGATGCAGAGCACGACCTCGTCGAACTCGGATGCGAGCCACCTTTCGGAAAAGGCCAAGAGGGAACTCCAAGCCTACGCCGTCTCTTTCGAGCAGGCCCGCCTCCAACGCCGCCGCTCGTACTAAGTCACCACCACAACTACTCCAACTCTTTCTTCGCTACACTGTTCAATATACCCTTAACACTTTTCGCAACTCATTTTTCAACTCGATAACTCCATCGACACACCGACTTCACCTTTTTTTCCTTGGTTCGACTGTTGTAACAAAAACGGGCATTACATCGGAGTATTGCATTATAAAAAAAAGTTTGGGTCAACTACGGGGAGTACTTGGCTTCGGCAGGGCACCTGCTTCATCCGCACGACGGCGCAACAATGGGAATTACCGGGATTGTACCACGACGCACTGGGCTTTTTCACATCAAGGTTATTCGACAAGCATGGCATTGAGGGATCAAGAGGATCGCTTCGGGCTTCATCATATCACGACACTGGGTTTTTTTTACGAAGCGGTCATCATTGAGTGGAATGGCTTGGACTCAAGGAAAGATGGCGGCGTTGGGGAAAAAAGACCCCGACATCAGATGGTACAACAAGGGACGTCGTCCTTCCGAAGGGGCTTGGACTGGCATTTGGGACGGAGAAACATCATGGCATTACCAATTTGACGGGATCACTGGGCATCAAGAGGCAAAAAAGGCCTTGGGGATGGGGTAGTAGCACAGGAATACGTCAGACTGAAGAAAAAATCAAACAAGACCAGTTCAAGACTTCACACAACAATCTCGCTGCCTACAACAATTTTTTCCCATGGTGACATGACTCTAATCGTCGATGACTCTACACGATTGGCATCCACTCTCTAAAGCTTTCGCGACGGAGCCGTGGATCCCCGGGAAAAGGCGTCATAGTGCCGGGAAGTTGAAATTCTCCATCGTGCCCCTGCGGCCAGGCCAAGGGGGGATGGATGTCGTGGTGGGGGACATCAGGCACGGGGGCTCAGGGAGAGCTGTGAGAGGAAAAAAAGAACAACAAAGAAAAAAAATAGCAAGAAAGGCCCATCCCGGGAATGGCCCCGCCCAAGCTTTCCCTCACACCTTCGGAAAGCCGCCAAACATGCCACAAGGCCGAACGGGGATCGGACGCAGCGCACAATTTGGGAAGGAAACGATGGGGACTTCTCGCTTGATGTTGAGAGCGGCTCAAGCCTGAAGGACGCGAATTTCTTATTGCAGATTCTGACAACGGCTCTTTTGCCCACGTTGTCGTCGTGCAGCCCCTGGAGGCCTGTCAGGGCCTGTCAGGGGGCCCAATTCAGGAATTACGAGTGCAAGGGAAAACAGGAAGAAAGATTTTTCTTGACAGAGCGGGCTGAGTGGTGACAGGACATGAGGCTGATGCTGTCATTGTCGTGCATTTTGCATTTTTAGATTTCCGGACATTAGCGAAGGCATTTTTTCGAGTTTTTTTTCTTCCCTGTGGTTGCCTTGTCCGTTCCTTCCCCTCCGTGTCTGCTGGTCCCTGACTTCCCGGATGAGGTAAGCAGGACTGTGTTGGCCGTCAGGGTGAGACTTTCACCACCGCCGACGTCGTTTCTCGCTTCCTGAGACCTTTCTCGGTGGAGGCGACTTCGACAGCACACATCTCGCAATCTCGCACCAAGATTGCAGCAAACAGGGCAACCAAGATGAGATGCTTTCGCTTTCCGAGCCCGTCATCTGTCGGTGGGGGACTCCATCTGGCGTTGCGAATACGTCTTGCCATTTCTGCGTTATGCGTTTCTGAGTTCTGCGTGTCTCCTCGGGCCCTCGGGTCGAACGAATTGGCCAAGCCAAACCGAGCACGAGCACCGACAACTCCGATGCAAGCCAGCAACGCCAGAGTTTAAGCCGAACTACGACTCCGGCGCTGCACATCCCCCGCCAAACGGTATCCATTCTCTGGTTGGTCTTCTTGGCAGGGTATTCGTGGCCATTGGGACTGACCACTAACTTTTAGACGAGAGGCGGGTTCCCTGAAGTTGACACTCGACCTGACTGCCGCCCACATGGCCGCTATGACGTGAGCCGCGAGAGAAAACATGCCATTTCTTTCCCCGTCGTCGGCCGACCCTATGACGACCATCATCATCCGGAGGACCGCAGATTTCGGGAACACTTTTTCGAGATCCACGATCCACCCGGGAACGAGATTGAGGCTCGAGCAGATGCTACTGCACAGACGGTCCATCGAACCATCGAATGAGAACTTTTCGGAATGGACCCCGCCAGACGACAGAGACAAGAGCCGCCTCAGACTTTTTCCTCGTCGTTACAGCCGTACGATCTGATGATTTGCCATCCACCCTCCTTTCGCCTACCGTCAATGAATGAAACGGTGCCCCTGCGGTACGGCGCGTGTAGGGCGACTGCGAGGGGGAGGGAGACGCAAAGGCATTGGGCAATCTGCAGATTAGCTACGGCCAGGCGCTAAAACGGACGATGAGCAGATCATTTCATGACGGCTCCTCATCTCGGTTTGCGCTGCCATCATCACCGACGGCCGTACTCGCTCCCTCTACGAGTCCACGCCCGCACCCACGCCTCCGATGTCCGGCGTCGTCGTCGTCGTCCCCAACCACGAGAGATTCGTGGGAGGCGGATGGGGTCTCGTCTGGCCTCAGTGTCCGTAACGTGTCTGGGCCATTGATTCATGGCAGGGACTGGGACTGGTGAACCTGGACCTCGACCGTGGTCCACAGGCGTCCGTGGCGGATCGAACGCTTTGGCTAAGCGTGATCACGACATTTGCACCTCAATTCACTCATCGTCACTCCAATTCACGTTGGCAATGGCCTAATACTTCCACAGCGTTCGAGGCAGCCGCTATTGGCAAGCGCCGGTCGGCCTTCATGGGTCATGGGTGGACAGGCGGGCGTTCCTCACAGCACTGGAGGGGCGTAGCAGCCCGGCGGAAGTGACGGCGGCAGTGTCACCCCCCACCCCAAGCGTGTGCAGCAGGCCGCCCTGAGGCAGAGTGGTCTTCAGGCGTCTCGCCTGCTGTAGCTGGCCAGATTCGGGGCCCTGAGAAGCCTCAAAACAGAAACGCGGAGGGGACGGGGCGCCTTCGCCGTCAGCCCAGCAGCCCCAAATCAACTCAGCTCGCTAAAGATATGCCTCACGCCGTCAGCACATCTGTCAGTTCAGTCTTCACAGCTGTGACAAGAGCCTCACTCAGCGCCGAGCGTCTTGGCCTTGCCTGATTTGCCTCTCTATGCAGTCAGAACACTTCATCCGGTGCCTGCTTGCATTGGAAAAGGACACAAGTCATTCCGACAGGCCGATAATGCCTCAGTTGCTCGCCACATTAACCGTCATGCTAACGAGTTGTGCTCCAATCCTGCCGAGCATGTCTCTCCTAACGCGCAACACCAAGTACATTGCACAACGGCCAACCGCGAGACACTTTCCCCTTTCGACCGGACGCATTGTTGACTCTGGAAACCGCGTTGGCAACATTCGATACGACACTTCAGAGTTGTTCAATTGGCCTTTTCGTCAATGTGGGCTTGTTGGGGGAGTGGTCACAGCGGAAAAGGAGAGACTTCGTCTCTGGGCGACCCAAATCTGCCCTTGCCGGTCGAACTCGTCAAACAAGCCATTCTGCGTTTTGATCCCTTCCTTCTCGGCTCAAGGCAAGGTAGGACAAGCCGTTGAGAGGATGTGAAAAATTTTCTCTTCTGGATCAATCTGCCTTTTTTTTTTCTGGCTCATCCCTACGGATAATGTGGTACGCTGCGGCGCATCGACCGATCCACGAGCCTGCCTCTGTGCGCCCGGTCAAGGTCTTGGTCTGTTCCTGTCGTCAAATGTCCGCTCTGGGCTTTAGTTGCTTTTGCAGCCTGTCTCGTTTTGCGTGGTGAGTCGTTCCGGAGACATGTATCAAGAGACAATAACAACAAACAAAACAAAACAAACTTTTCACTTGTCTCTGACACAGCAGCACCGGCAGACGGCACAACTAGTTGGCTCGCTTCCGCGGGTGTTCTGAGGCCGTATTTCGCACTCGGCGCCATGGACGTTCGAGAACAAGCTTCTGGTCGAACCAGAGTGGCCACATCGGGCTGCTCCCTCTGGTGACAGCGTGCAGCGCCTGTGGTTTCAGCAAGCAATGCCGTGTTGTGCTCGTTTTACACATTGATTGCTGCGAAATGTGGACGCATACAGAAACACGTCTGACAACGCATCTCTCAGCTTCGACTCCTCACGCCGAGCCAAATATCTCCGCTGGCTTGAATACACCCGCTGTAGCATAAGCACTGCACAGAATTGCCGCAGTAACAGCGCACTCATCTTGCTGCTTTCGAGGCAGGGGCCGTCTCACCAGGATTTCTCACGCTCAATCAAATGGCTCAATTTCAGATGAGACGAAAGAGGCCTCTTGACGTTACTGGTACCCGAACACATGCAGCCCGACATTCTGGACCGCTCGGCGGCCCATGGCTCAGGCTCACGTAATACGCTCCCTTATGCCAGCTCAAGCCGGCCGATGACGTAGCTGCTACTTGCACGTCACGTTTTTGCCCTTTCACGACCCTACGACGTACGGATACCGGTTTCATCTTCATCTGGGCTGATCCAGAGAGGTGCACGCACGGCATTCCGGTTCCCTGGGAAAAGAATAGGGAGCATGCGCGGGCCCGTGAGGCACGGCACGGTCGGATGCTTCAGAACGAACAGAGGAATAAATCAGCAGAAACGCTGACAGGAACCCAGGAAGCCGTCCCGCCGTGCGGTGCGGTGCGGTGTCATCCGTCTCGGCTGGCCAGGAACGAGAAGGGCCTGAGACAGCTCATGCCGTGAGCCTCTCTGGCGTCCTGCAAGGAACATCCTGAGGGCTCATCCGCAAGGCGCATTTGCGCGAACCGCAGAGGCGAAACTGGGCATCCGTCGAGCAGGGTTGAGGCTATTCAGGGCAACGGCTCTCGCCGTCTGCCTTAAAAAAACTCCCCGGGATGAGGACAGGGGTTGGATGCAAGACGGGCGAACCAAACCTTCCTGTCTGCAAACAATGTCAAACGACGGACCCTCTCGTCGAACAAGTCTGGGTCTATCAAAGACGTCGAATCAACGCAATGTTCCCACG